ATCTTGACCAAATTCGACATTTATTGGTTTTACTGTACTCGCCATATATTTGCAAAGTCCTATCAACATCGGACCACTATATCATATAGCTGCCATATGAACGATCGATCGAAAAGTTAGTTCTTATATGAAAACCTTTTTTAAGATATCTTAACCATACTCGACATTAACTATTTATTTGTGTCTGAAAGTGTATTAAATCCTCGGCTTGCCAAAGATAGCCCGTTTTTTCTCGTTCCTTTTTCGGCTTAGTTTATTTTATCCACTTTTATTGCGAATCCTGCTTATGAATAATGCAGCGAATGCTTTTAATTATACAAACGTACCAGGTATTTCCCGCACTTTGCCTGCAGCCAAGTGTAAAGAGTCGTGTTTATTAGCCAAAAACAAACTCAGCTTGTGCGTTTGTGTATTCTGGCTAAAGTTCCACTTTAATGTAATAGGAATTACCCGAGCCAGCGTTGGCGGGGGGGAAGGCCCCTAATGAAATGCATTGTCAAATGAAATGGTAAAATTGACGACGTCCACTCTTTCCTCAAGTGCCCAACCGCATTAAATCAGCAAACTAACCGCCACTAAATAAACACACACCCCCAACACACGCACACACTCGCACACTCGCACACACATGGCAGACATGCCTGGACATACGTGAGTACAAGATGTTGCCGACGTGGCTGCTGCCCGGGTCAGGATCTAAAGTTAAAAGCACTTGTAACAAATTGAAATCATTCATCTTACTTTTCGCATTCATTTGCACTCACATCTTAGCACTCACACACACCCCCTCTCTCCCCTCTCGCCAACCCTGGACATATTAAATTCGCCTGGTCAGCCAATAGCATTAAGTAGCCGGGTTTTTGGGCTTTTCTTTGCCCAGGTAATGCCCGTGCCGGTAGGGAAAAGCCAACAGCAACGAGCTCTGTCTAAGCTAATCTGTGCTAAAAACTAAGCTTATGTATTGCTCATATACAAATTTCCACAAAAGTGTCAATAAACAACAAGGTTCCGGGTTCGAATCTTAATTAAACATGTGAAAGCTTCGTTGCTTTTAATGCGAGACTAAGGCATAAAGTGTTCCATACACAGTGTGTGCATACTAAATTTGGCTGATTGACAGACTGATTGACAGCATGGGTATAAATTATGCCCAAAAAACAAAGATATGTCTCTTAAGTATTGATATTTAATTTAAGAAACAACCACATTTAAATTGTGATTCTGTGTAAAGTTTTCTTTAACATTTTTAGCATGTTTGGAACATCCACTTTTAAATGTCCATAGTTGGTGTTAAATTTTTAATATAAGTAGCAATTTTTGTAAATAAGAGATCAAGGTTTTTCACATTGAAAATCATTATTAATATTAGCTCGCTTTTAATTTGTAAAGGAATTTTGCTTAAATACACACGTTATCATAATTGTAGTTAATCTGTTTGTGGCTTATAAACTATAATTTCAGGGGGTGTGCACACACTCGTCTATATATATTTTACTTGATAGTGTTGCTCGTTACAAGCAAGTAAAAAAGCTAACCGAGTCGATGTCAGTTCAAAAGAAAAAGCTACATATATTTTTTTAAATTTCAAAACTTTTTAGTCCTAATGTTAACCCTGAAAATTCCTTCGGTGGAAAAAACTAAACACGTTTTAAAGCAGACAATATTGCCGCTGCCCGTCAAAAGTACAGTTTGACGGAAAAAAAGCGATGCCTGACAACACTGGCTGCTTGATTAAGTGCACACTTAAACAACGGCATTTAATTAACATAAGTATATCGATATCTTATGCGCTGTGCACAAATACGAATTGAACATAAATACGCATTGTGCACGTTTATTTGCCCATATATAGAAAATAAAGGAGGGAACAAAGAATGGGGCAAAAAAAATATAAGAAGAAGTAAACTTCAGTTTTCGCTCAATCGAGTTGTCTGCTGCAGCAGCCGCAAGCACTTTCGAGTGGCTGTGGCTATTAAAACGGGCCAAGAACTGTCAAGCTCAAGTAGAAGAGAAATCAACGCGCCATTCAAGCAAAAAAATTGCATTGATGAGGCTAAAGATGGCACAAAGCAAATATGAGTATGAATCAGAAGAAGCTGCACACATACAGCCAAGACGCGCCGAGCGTCTTATACGCATATTTACTTATACAATTAATCGTATGCAGAGAGTAAGAATCAGAAGAAGCTGCACACATACAGCCAAGATGCGCCGAACGTCTTATACGCATTTCTTATAAATTATTTACTTATAAAATTAATCGTATGCAGAGAGCCACGCTGCCTGATAAGCTCGGATAAGTGCCTGAGCTGCTCTCCCTAACTCTCTCTTGCTCTCGCTCTCTCTCTCTCCCTCTGGCATCGCCATTCTACCCACATGCTGGAGTAGAATCGAACTGATATTTAGAAGCCGCTCTCAGTCTTATTTGAACTGGCGGCTTCAGGCGTACGCTGCAACGCTTAATTTCAACAATTTTCAAAGAAAAATATTCAGTTCTTTATTGAAATTCTCTAAAAACGAAATGAAAATCCTGCTGGGTTTGATTTTGCTGCAAGGCATATATCACAGCTACTCACAAGGTTAGCTGAGTCAACAAAATTGTTGGAAAGAATCCCAGCATTGAGTCAGAGAGTTGCTTTCAAAGAAAAAAACCAACAACAACAACAACGACGAGAACAACAACAACACAACTGGTTATCAGCTTGAACTCGACCCAGTGGAATCTCTGAAGCGTTTCGTTAATTAAAAAACATTAATCGTGGGGCTTTTTCTTACGCCAACGACGTTGTCTTCTTGTTTTGATATTAATCTATATATGTATATTTTTACAGAAATTTTTGGTTATTGTACAACGCCAACGGATCAAAGTGGCACATGCATCCATCTCACAGAATGCAACTATCTCTTTGAGCTGGTCCAAAAGCGCACCATATCTGCAGCCAATCGCGCTCTGCTGCAGAACAGCCAATGCGGCTATCGGAATGGTCAGGTGCTGGTGAGTACTCTTATATATAGAGAGAGCGAGTAACTTTAGAAGAGTTTTTGTATGTCCTGCTGTAGTCTTATATATAGAGAGAGCGAAAAACTTTAGAAGAGTTTTTTTTATGTCCTGCTGTAGTCTGCTTAACAGTGTAAGCGGGGGGTAAGGAAATGCATCGAAAATTCCTACACGAAAATCTCTATTAATGGTATATCTAAAAAATAGAGTTCAAATCTTTTCTCTGATTCTAGCGGGAATCTAAGTATATAAAATTGTCAATAGTTACAGTTATCTGCACAAAATTCAAAACTGCTTCGATACTTCGATTTCTGATAGAATCTATCTATCCGATAGTGTCTATCGCCAATCAAAGTATCGATAATTGTCAAAAGTTACAGTTATCTCCTCAATTCTGTTCTAAGCTCAATTTTGAGACATTTTGCGATTAATAGATCCAAGAAAGGGAACTAGCTGCTACCTCAACTATATATACAAAGCTTTCACCATAGTTCCTCAGCGGGAAATTTCAAACAAATTAAGCTATTTTTAGCCAGAAAGCTATTATTCAGCTATCTTTAGCTATTTTTAAAATTAGATTCAGCTATTTTTTGAAGCTGAGAACATAAGCAAAAAGATTTTGAGCCCAGCCTAAGCAGCTGTTCGTTAGCAGAGTTTTCACTGTACATAAGCTAAAGATATTAATGGAAAAATAACGCACTTACAGATTTGCTGCGCCAACAGCCGTAGACTTAGCCAGCAGCCAGTGTGGGGCCAGCCTGCGCCCAAACCGCAGCCCCAGCCTCAACCGCAGCCACAGCCGACCACGCCCACCACGCCCACAAGGCGCTCAAATTTGCTGCCGCAAGTGCCGAACTGTGGCGACAACTTTGGCGATCGGATTGTGGGCGGCGTGGATACCGGCAAGAAGGATTTCCCCTGGATGGCGCTCATCGAGTATACGAAACGTGAGTCCACAAATGTTTCCACATGAGCGACGCCTTAATAAACGGGATCTTTAGCGGGCAACGTGATTGGACACCATTGCGGCGGTTCGCTGATCAACAATCGTTATGTGCTGACGGCGGCGCATTGTGTGTCTGCGATACCGGACAATTGGCGGCTGACGGGCGTGCGTCTGGGCGAATGGGACACGACCATGAATCCGGACTGCACCACGGAGCGAAGCGGCAAGACGGACTGCAATGATCCGTATGTGGATGTGGGTGTCTCTGAGATAATACCGCATCCCCAATATCCGGGCAATGCACGGGATCAGCTGCACGACATTGCGCTGCTGCGTCTAATACGGCAAATCGCCTTTACGGATTTCATTTCGCCCGTTTGCCTGCCCATCAAGCTGGAGCACCAGAATACCATTTTCCTGGGCCGTAAAATGATTGTCGCCGGCTGGGGACGCACGGAGACCAATTCCACATCGAACGTGAAGAAAAAGGCCGAACTAGAATCGGTGGCCACGGCGGAATGCAATCGCCGTTATCAGACACAGCGGCGCACCGTGACCTCCAGCCAGATCTGCGCCGGCGGCGTGGAAGGCATCGATTCGTGCCGCGGCGACTCCGGCGGACCTTTGAGTAATTACATCCTTAATATTCCACAAGCTCTGTGATTTAACCTTTGATTCCTTTATCTCAGTAATGGAGGACTTCAATGAGGGCTACGGCAATTACTATCTCACCGGCGTTGTGTCCTACGGGCCGACCCCATGCGGCCTTTCTGGTTGGCCGGGCGTTTACACACTTGTGTCCTCGTACATTGAATGGATTGAGAGCACGATTAAAGCATAAGATCGTTACACTTTTGTACAAGCTGGTTAAAACCGATTGATTATTAAAATATGCGAAATATGTAATATATGTTACACACGAATAGTTCGCGCCAAATTAATTATCGTGCATGCAGTTGTTATCGATAAATTGCTAACACGCTCCTTTTTGCGTAAACATGCGTCAAATGTTATGCTGCTGTTAAAGTCAACTATCGATTGAATATATCGATTGGGATAGTGCAATATTGTAAAAGTTAATTTACCGGGATAAAATGTTGAAAAACATCTGTGTCACACAATTAAATTTGCTTAAAAGCGCAACCAGTCTGCAGCAACAAGTGCGGGTAAGTTGTGCTCGCCTTATAGAGTTACCTTTAAGTCAATTAACAGCAGCTTCCATCCACCCGAACAGACCACGTTCGTGCTGAAGCGCAAATATGAACCGCTGTTACACAAGACCAATGAGAAACCGCGACGGATGCGGGCCAAGCACTTTATCTATGAGCTGGTGGAGGACACGCTCGTCAAGAAGCGACCCAACTTGGAGGTGGTGCTGAAGACCTTTGTCGAGGGCGTTGGCGACAAGGGCGACGTCGTCTCGATGAAGCCGCATTTCGTCTACAACAAATTGCTGCTGCCAGGCCTGGCTACGTACAAAACGCCGGAGAACATGGCCAAGTATGCGAAAACGGAGGCGGAAAAGTCGTCGGTGCAGCACAGCTCAGCGTATGCCCAGCGCACCGTCAACATGCTGGAGTCCATTGTGCTGGCAGTGATCATGAACAAGGATGAGCCCTGGGTGCTGGAGCCGTGGCACATCAAAGCCTCCCTACGCAAGGCGGGCTTCCATTGCAAGGAGGAGTGCATAACGCTGCCCAAGGAGCGTATCGAGGGACCCGATCTCAGAAAGGAGAACAAAGAGTTCTGCTGCACCATAACGATCAATAAACTGGAGCAGGCCAAGCTCAGATGTCGCATACATCACTGGAGCACCGATCCCAGCGAACGTTTACCCTACGTGCTCGAGCATTGGAAACTGCCAGCTGAGCCCCTGCTGGACGTGGGCTTGCCGGCAGCCGCGGCCACAAACGAATCCGCAAAGCCTGTTTGAGCCAATTGTTTAGAAAATAAAAGACAGCCCGTTTTTTATCCTATAAATCTGTTTTATTTTAAATCAACGTTTTGCAAATAAAGAGTGTATGATAGTTATATATTAATGAAACAAAAAATGCGCACAATTCGCTGTGATATTTCCGCGTACTATATCTCCTCGTTCATAACTGAACGATCTGCTGTTGCTGTTTGTAGTTTGGTTATCATTCGTAAAACCTAATGCCTATATTTAGTTGCCTAATTGTTGAAGTCGCGTTTAGTGCACGGCCTTCAACTCAACATCGAAAACCAGCGTGGAGTTTGGCGGAATGGTCGGCGGATGGCCGCGCGTGCCATAGGCCATGTGGGCGGGGCAAGTGATGCGACGCTTGCCGCCCACCTTCATGCCAACGACACCGACATCCCAGCCCTTGATGACCTCGCCGGCGCCCAAGGCGAACTTGAAGCCGTTGCCCTTCTGCATGCTGTCAAAGGTCTTGTTGTTGGACTTGAGGCGTCCAATATAGTAGACGGAAACGCGCTTGCCCTGCTTGGCCTCGGGTCCGTTGCCGTTCTGCAAATCCTGTACTTTAACGCCACCAACTATTGTGCGTTCACCGGCAGCTTGCTTGGCATCCTTTGCCTTGGGCTGCTCTTTCTTAGCCTCAGGAGCGGCGGTAGCTGCTTTCTTGTCCTTCTTCGACTTCTGCTGCTGCTGCTGCTGTTGCTGCTGCTGCTTACCCTCCTTTTTGGCCACACCATTCTGTTCCTTGGGTGATTTCTTTGCGGCTTCATTGACTTTGGCTTTTTTGGCCTTGGGTGCATCTTCTTCCTCCTCCTCATCCTCAGAGTCATCCTCCTCCTCATCTTCGTCGTCCTCCTCTTCACCAGATTCATCCTCTAGGAATGAAGAGTATTCAGCAGCTAATTTACTGTCATCCACATCCTCGTCCTCATCATCGTCCTCTTCCTCAGCCTCTTCGCTGCCATCATTGTCCGAATCACTGTCGTTGCCGCCAATGCCCTTTTCTTGCTTCAAAGCATTGACAACATTCTCATATTCTGCGTCCTCGAACTCATCGTCCGATTCCTCAGCATCGTGAAGGTAGCCAATCAAGGAAACCAGAGCATCTCCTGCAAATGTACATGTGTTCAGCTGTGTGTCAGAGAGTATAAATATGTGTGACTTACCAGTTGTTTGGAACATGATCTTGTCGCCCTTGCAGAAGTTCAAATCAAGCGCCATTTGTGGCACGCTTTTGGACAAAGTCGCCACAATGAACTTAGTCTTGTCGGCCGTAATGTAAAGTTTGGCGGACTCGCCCTCATCGAGCGCAACACCCGAAATATGGAAGGACTTCACAATGGTTTGCGTGTATTTGCGGTTAGGCTTCATACTTAATCCTGCAAGAAATCAAAACGAAATTGCGTATATTACATCGGACCCGGAAAATTCCCACGCTGCAGCGGGCGCAAGCACGTGGTGATAAAAAATGAAGATCACAAGCCGGCTGAGCGCACGCTTGGCATGGGTATGATAGCTCGCATATAATAATTAAATAATATAAAACTACTTACCCCAAAACATCGACATATTGCAGCTTTTAATTTATTTAGCACAGAAATGAATGGAAAAAACGTGCACGACAGCAAATGCTCTGGAACAAACGACTGACGCCGGCTAATTGCAGTGCTGGAAAAGACTGTAAAGGCATTCCGGCGCCAACGATGAATGCCCGAGGTCTATCGATAATTTAAAAGTGGCATTCACATACATTGCGCTGAGTGCAACGCTGCGTGCACGCGCGTCGCTGTGATTGACACAAAAAAAGAACTGTGTTTGTGTATTTGTGTTGAGAAAATCTTGTGTCTGAGAAACGCAGCGCCTGCAGCCCCGCCTTTGAGTGCGATATTTATCTGCACTTCCGTTGTCGTTAGTTAGAGTGATGACAAATAAAGCAACATGACCGAAAAGATAACACTTGCCGATGCCCTGTCCAATGTGGAGGTGCTGGACGAGATACCGCTGCCCGACGAGCAGCCCTGCATTGAGGCCCAGCCCTGTTCAATTATCTACAAGGCAAATTTTGATACAAACTTTGAGGATCGCAATGGATTTGTTACGGGCATTGCCAAGTACATCGAGGAGGCGACCACGCACGCAAATTTGGTAAGGCCAAAAATACCAATTAGGTAACTGTTTTTAATATGCTTTTCCTGCCCCGCAGAATGTTTTACTTGACGAGGGACAGAAGCATGCCGTGATGCTATACACCTGGCGCTGCTGCTCCCGCGCCATACCGCAGCCCAAATCCAATGAGCAGCCCAATCGCGTGGAAATCTATGAGAAGACCGTGGAGGTGCTGGCGCCGGAAGTGAATAAATTACTTAATTTCATGTACTTTCAACGCAAGGCAATTGAGGCCTTTTCGGGCGAGGTGAAACGTCTGTGTCATGCAGAGAAACGCAAGGATTTCGTATCGGAGGCATATCTGCTGACGCTGGGCAAATTCATCAACATGTTTGCCGTGCTCGACGAGCTGAAGAACATGAAGTCGAGCGTAAAGAACGATTATTCGACCTATCGACGTGCTGCGCAGTTCCTGAAAGTGATGTCCGATTCGCACACACTGCAGGAGTCCCAGAATCTATCAATGTTCTTGGCCACCCAAAACAAAATACGTGACACCGTCAAGGATACGCTGGAGAAGATCGTGGGCTACGAGGATCTACTGTCCGATGTGGTCAATATCTGTGTGCACATGTTTGAAACGAAAATGTATTTGACGCCCGAAGAGAAGCACATGCTGGTCAAAGTCATGGGCTTTGGTCTGTTTCTCATGGACAGCGATGCGTGCAACATCAACAAGCTGGATCAGAAGAAAAAGATACGTCTAGATCGCATTGATCGTATCTTCAAGAACCTGGAGGTGGTGCCGCTCTTTGGAGATATGCAAATTGCTCCGTTTAACTATATAAAACGCAGCAAGCACTTTGATTCCAGCAAATGGCCGTTGTCCAGCTCAAATGCCATCAGCCCACAGGCGGACTTGATGGTGCATTTGCCGCAGATACGCGAGGATCATGTGAAGTATATATCCGAGCTGGCACGCTACACCAACGAGGTGACCACCACCGTCAAGGAGAATCCTTCGGATGCTGAGAATCGCATCACCGCAGATCTTGCACTGCGCGGTCTGCAGCTGCTCTCCGAGTGGACCAGCGTGGTCACCGAGCTGTACTCGTGGAAGCTACTGCATCCAACAGACCATCATCAGAACAAGGATTGCCCCGTGGAGGCGGAGGAATATGAGCGCGCCACTCGCTACAATTACACATCCGAGGAGAAGTTCGCACTGATCGAGGTAATTGCCATGATCAAGGGTCTTCAGGTGCTAATGGCACGCATCGAGACGGTTTTGTGTGAGGCAATAAGACGCAATATCTACTCCGAGCTGCAGGACTTTGTGCAGCTAACACTACGCGAACCGCTCCGCAAAGCGGTCAAGAACAAGAAGGATTTGATACGCAGCATCATTATGTCTGTACGTGAAACCTCGGCCGATTGGCAGAAGGGCTTTGAGCCCACCGATGATCCGGTGTCCAAGGGCAAGAAAGATCCCGATGGTGGCTTTCGCATACATGTTCCCCGCCTGAATGTGGGCCCCTCATCCACGCAGCTGTACATGGTCCGCACCATGCTGGAGTCCCTGATTGCCGACAAGAGTGGCGGCAAGCGGACGTTGCGAAAGGACATCGATGGCAACTGCCTCATGCAGATCGATACGTTCCACAAGACATCCTTCTATTGGAGCTACCTGCTCAATTTGAGTGACACGCTGCAAAAGTGCTGCGATCTATCCCAGCTATGGTATCGCGAGTTCTATCTGGAAATGACCATGGGCCGCAAAGTGAACAAGTGCCTGGTGCGGCATCAGCACAACGAGGAATGCAAGGATTTGATTACCATGGAAAAACGCATACAGTTCCCCATTGAAATGTCTATGCCTTGGATATTAACTGATCACATACTCCAGACCAAGGAGCCATCCATGATGGAGTAGGTTTCCGATTCAAACTAATCAATTGAGATAAATAACAACTATTTTTATTGCAGATTCGTTTTGTATCCCTTGGATTTGTACAACGATTCGGCACACTATGCGCTGACTGTCTTCCGTAAGCAATTCCTCTACGACGAAGTGGAGGCCGAGGTCAATTTATGCTTCGATCAGTTTGTCTATAAGCTAAGCGAACAGATATTCGCCCACTACAAGCAGCTGGCAGGCAGGTGAGTACAATTTTGGATCCTCAGATGGACACCAAGCTTTATTTTGGAACATATTCCCATAGAATGTAGATATGTAGAATGGGAGTATATCTGAAAGTCAATATAGACTTGTCTGTCTGTCTGCAGACTATAGACTATAAATTTGGATTATTTCAGATCAATTTTATCCTTTCATCAAGCTACTCAGAAATCGATAAATATAGATGGTTAGACTATGTCCTTTGAGCATATCTCTAAGCATTTAAAGATCTTGGATCTAGAGTTGTTCATTAAATTGGGAACTAAGCGCAGGGTATTTGCTAGTCGGACTTATTTAATTAAGATATTGTCCTGGTTTCCTTGCAGCATTTTCTTGGATAAACGTTTTCGCCTGGAGTGCGAGGTGCTTGGCTTCAATTTCCAATCATATCCACGCAATAATCGCTACGAAACGCTGCTTAAGCAACGCCATGTGCAGCTCTTGGGTAAGTCAGATGGAAACTCCCAACTCTAGTTACGACTTGACTGCATTTGCTTGCTTTCCAGGCCGTTCTATCGACCTGAACAAACTGATTACACAACGCATCAATGCAAACATGCACAAGAGCATCGAATTGGCCATCAGCCGCTTTGAGGGCAACGACATCACAGGCATTGTGGTAAGCCGAAGATTGGCCACAAACCCAACCACAAAGCTCAACTTTGGTGTATTTTTTGTTTGCGCAGGAACTTGAGGGGCTTTTGGAAGCCAATCGCATTTGTCACAAAATGCTCAGCAAGTATTTGGCATTGGACAACTTTGATGGCATGGTTAAGGAGGCTAATCATAATGTGCTGGCGCCCTATGGTCGGATCACACTGCATGTTTTCGTCGAATTGAATTACGATTTTCTGGTTAACTACTGCTATAATGCGGCCACAAATCGGTAAGCTGCTTAATTAGAGCTCTGCATCGAACCAACCGAAGCGCCTTTCAAGTACTCAAACTAGACTGAACTTTTATCGACTCGACCTGTTAGATATTCAGACAGTATATGAATCGATCAACTCCACTAAAAAAATTGGTTCGATTTAAAAAGTAAGCTCGAGCTGATCGAGCACGCTTCAAACTCGACTCTATAGCCTATGTTCGAGCGTGTATTGTCTCACATCGAACATGTTGCTGACTAAAGCAAGTCGAACTCTGTTCGATTGAATATCCGAGATTGATGTAAATAAATCAACCAATGCAGGGCTCTACCTCTTAACACAGTTCGAATTATCTAACCCATCCTTGTTTTTTGCAGCTTTATTCGCACCAAGGTCAATTTGTCGTCCTCACAGGCCATACAGCGTGAGAAACCGTCGCAGATGTCGCATTATTATCTCTGGGGCTCAAAGCAGCTGAATGCTGCATACTCCACACAGTTTGGCCAGTATACTGGCTTTGTGGGTGCACCGCATTTTCATGCCATGTGCCGGCTGCTGGGCTATCAGGGCATCGCTGTAGTCATGGACATTATACTGAAGGACATTGTCAAGCCTCTCATACAGGGCTCGTTGCTGCAGTTCACCAAAACTCTGATGATTGCCATGCCCAAATCTTGCAAATTGCCACGCTGCGAATATGGTTCGCCCGGCGTGCTCAGCTATTACCAGGCGCATCTAACGGACATTGTGCAATATCCGGATACCAAAACGGAGCTATTTCAATCGTTCAGAGAGTTTGGCAACTGCATCATCTTTTGCCTGCTCATCGAGCAGGCCCTCTCGCAGGAGGAGGTCTGTGATCTGCTGCATGCGGCGCTCTTCCAAAACATCTTTCCGCGCCCATTCTGCAAAGGTGCGGCTGAATAGATCGCTTTGACATAATTTAATATTTATGATAATATATATATGTTTACAGAGAATGAAAAACCAGAGGCCAAGCAGAAACGTCTGGAGGCTCAATTTGCAAATCTACAAATCGTTTCCAATGTGGAGAAAATTGGCACAGCCAAGGTAAATAGCTGGTGAATCAATCAACAGATTGTTTAATTAATTAATTAGCTGACTGATTAGCTCACAGCCCATAACGTAATAATGGGCTGCTGAATTTTACCTTTAGTTTATTAAGCTAATACCAAGTGGTGTAATAATAAGAGAATTGGGAAGTTAGAAGCCCTTAATCGAAATGTAACCTATAGAAGCCCTCCTCAATTGGTTTCTCACATCCTTGACAGCTTACAGCTCGAGCATGTCAATAGTACTTGTAATAAGGTTAAGGATCTAGGTATCAAGGACTCGACTCTCATGTTAAGATCGTGGACAGTCCAGAATTGTTTTGAGTTTCATCAAGCGATGGTCGCAGGAATTTGACGATCCGTACACGACAATTATCCTTCCATACGACCTATACTTAAGTATGGCTCAATCTATCTGGTCACCACAATATTCTACTCATCATGACAGAATTGACTCCGTATAAAAACAATTCTTGTTGTTTGCACTTCGAAGTTTAAATTGCAATCCTCGTGTACGGTTACCATCATACTTCGGATGATTAATCTGGCTTCATTAGTCGTAGAACCAAGCATGCTTGGTGTAAAACACATTCATAACCACTCTGATGATGATAACAAGCATTACAGGGTATTCTGCGCGGAGTAGTCCCTTCCTCGTATAAAGTCTTCTATTCTAAGCAATTTAGCAAGTAGTTAGTCTTAGTATGTAGTCGTATGTTAGTTCCTCTTATAAACTTATATTTCTATAATCTTTAACCACAGCAAGCGATGATAGCACGAGAAGGAGATCTGCTGACACGCGAGCGTCTTTGTTGCGGCCTGAGCATATTTGAGGTAATATTGAATCGGGTCAAGAGCTATTTGGATGATCCCGTCTGGTGTGGGCCACCGCCTGCTAATGGCATCATACACGTGGATGAGTGCTCAGAATTTCATCGGCTGTGGTCCGCGCTACAGTTCGTCTATTGTATACCCGTGCGCGGCACCGAGTACACCATCGAGGAGCTGTTCGGCGAGGGCCTCAACTGGGCTGGCTGCGTCATGATTGTGCTGCTTGGCCAGCAGCGACGCTTTGAGGCACTCGACTTTTGCTATCACATCCTGCGCGTGCAGCGCGTCGACGGCAAGGATGAGGATGTGAAGGGCATTGTAAGTAGCGCCAGCCACAACTCAAATCAAAATCAAATTCATAATAATTTCACTTCTTTCTGCAGCAACTGAAGCGCATGGTGGATCGCATCAGACGCTTTCAAGTATTAAACTCACAAATCTTTTCAATACTTAACAAATATCTGAAGGGCGGCGACGGCGAGGGCTCAAATGTGGAGCATGTGCGCTGCTTTCCGCCGCCACAGCATCCCTCGGTCATATCCTCGTCGTCGCACTATCAGGATCCACAAAAGCTGCGGCAAAGCATGAACAATTGAGCATCTCATGATGTCTTGCATTTAAGCTAATCGTAGGCACTTACGTTAATATTTAATCCGAATTACAAGCTACTCACACAATATGCGGGCATGTACGCTAAGTTTTGCAAATCAAAACCAAGTATGTGCCAGTGCCAGAGATATATACATTCGATTTTATTACAATTGTTTATTATCACCCTTTTTTTGTGGTATATACTCTACACATTATGTATATTGAATTATGCAAATTATACGCTGCTCTAGATTTATAGATTTAACAAAATTCCACGCTACAATTTTTCTAATGTGCAGCTCAGTTAATTACTAAAATAGAAACGAGAAAAAACCATTAATTATGCGAGAATCAAATTAGCCAAAGAATTGACAAATGGGCAATGAATAAATTGGCTTTAAACGCTACAAAACAGTTTTTAAAAAATAAAGAAAAACGAAAGAGTATTAAATAACAAGTAAAACAGCCAATTAGCCAGCGCGCATATAAATTAAATTATTTATATGCCCGAGCATATTTCCATATGTAACAGAATTGACTATATATACGTTATATATATATATAAACATAAATCTAATACAATGAACTTTATCGAATAAAATTTTCATACGTATTTCTAACAAAACCCTTATAAGCTGGGTTTTTATCTGGCTCGAGGAATATAATTGTCTATCTACATTATATATATGTCTGTATTTTATAATTTATTAATCAATCATTTCTTTCTACCTAGAAAAAGCTGAGCCCACAACATTTTTGATTTGTATATATGTTTGTTTTATTCACTGAACAGTTTTGGAATGCCTGGAGTAATACAATTATGTTACGCTAACAGTCGCAGGCTTTAATTGGTAGCCCGTTTTTTGGCGGACTGCCGCCCGGATGGATGTGCAGAACCGTAAAGTTATCGGCATAGTTGCGCGGCAAATCGAATTTGGCACTGTCGGCGCCCAGGTAGCAGGCGCCGTAGGCACTGCTCTTGGTGATGCGCACCAGCTTGAGATTGTAGTCGATGTGCATCTTCGAGATCTCCTTGATGAAAGCCTCCTGCAGCAGGTTCCAGCTGCTCCACACAGAGCCCACACAGACGACGCTCAGATCGCCGGACTTGACCAGATCCCTGTGCACCTTGGGCAGCAGCGATTTAATCATGCGCGCCAACAGCACACCGGCCTCATGGAAGAGCGACAGGGCCAGCTTGTCGCCGGCTTCCGCATTCTGGGCGAGCTTCTTGCACAGATTGGCAAAGAAGGGCTTGTCGAATTTGGCATAGCAATGCGGCAGCATATCGTAGCGTGTCTCTATGCTAAAATGCTCGCGGATGAGCGCCCAGGTCTTCTCGATGGGCTGCGGCGACTTCTCCAGGTTATCCATGTCGTCGAAGACCAGCTTGATGGCCCGATATGATATGTACCAAGCTGGAAAACAATTAAATGCCAATTACTCATACGTTCGCCCATGAAGCTATGATTAGCCGTCCATCAAATGCTATCAGCAAATCCCAATCGCAAACTGGGTCGTGTTTATTGATAACAATTGGCTTTGTGGGAAAGACAACATTGCCTGGCACTCACCGCTGCCCTCGTCCCCGAGAAAATGACCCCAGCCGCCGCAGTTGGCCGTGCTGCCGTCCGGATTGCGCAGCAGGCAATTGGAGCCCGTGCCGGAGATGAGCACCATGCCGCCGATGGAGGAGGCGGTAAACATGCTGCCCATGGTATCGCTCGAGACGGCATAGCTCTCGGCCAGTTTGGGATATGTGCTGCGCAGCTCCTGCTCCAGCTCACGATTGGTAGCCTCCTAGTTAAGCAGACAGATTAAAACATGGACGGGAATGTCAGTTGGATTCGCCATACGCCACCTGCTCACAGCCGCTTAAACTCAGGCCCAGGCTCGTCAGTGGTGTGTCCTTTGGTATCTTGGCCTCATCCTTGCAACGCTCCACCATGTCGGCAATGCGGCGTGCACATGTCGGTATGCCGATGCCCCAATGATTTGTCCCCAGCCCACTGGCCGTGCCCACAGACTCGCCGCTCTCATCACAGATGACCAAATGCGAGTGCGTTGCACCGCTGCCAAAACAAGGAAAATATATGAGATGCCATTATAAATATATAAGTTATATATATCTGGAATTTGTATAGTCGTGATGTGCATCCGGTTGGATCCTATTGTTCGACTATTGTGCTGCTTAAGGGTCATGACCGGGAACAATGCCTATTTATGGACGTCTCTATCAATAGTAATTCAATTAAATCAACGCAATTGAGCAAATTGATATTAAGCTGTTCTATATTTGCTAACGTTTATTAAATTAATCAATTTTCAAAGGGGCTACAATAAATGGCCTCACGTGCCTTATCAATTTCCGACTTTAATACATTCAAAATGATGAATTAGTATCGGGGGAATGCTCATTATAGAAAATAAAACCAATGTCACATTCTAATAAGAATCGCGACACATTCCCAATTAGAATCGCAAGCTCTAAACAGTTTTCGATTTTATAAAATACCAAATTCTAGAAATTCAAATTTCCCTCCCATATTTGTATGCTTTGATATTTCTCTTTAATTACTTGACCCACATTTATGTATTTTTATAGAACTACCGAATTTATTTATTTCTAAGATAAAGTAAACGAGCAGACATCAATGCGGGTAAATTGAACATAACTTTGACAAGCCCAGGTCACATTAAGATATGCCATAGATATACATGTGTGTGTGTGACTGTGTGTGTTCCCCCATTCAATTGCTGTTATTGTGCGCGCCAGTTGCCAGCCTGTTGAACTGCAATCTAAACGCGCCTCAATTCAGATAAATGCATGCTGAACTGCGGAACAGCAACATGTGCTATTGTGTTATCTGCAGTGGGGGGGATTATTAGCTAAACGTGTTTGCATTCTGTTAATAAATATATAAATTGGCTTTTTGCTATATCTGAGATAAGCTTGGCGCTTGCACCTTTAAACAAAAACATTGTGACGTCACGATTGAATCGGCTAACTGGCAGCACTGTGCAAAATGGTGCTGCCATATCGCCGCACTCAAACAATCGTATTGCACAATAAACTGTGTTTAATTTTGTTAATTGAGCATCTCAAGACGTTGGAAAGTGCGTGCTGTGTGCGCCTCGAAGTAATTAAAACCATTCAACGTGCTGAATTAATAGAAAAAATCATCAATTGAATTGATATGAAGCTGCTGACAAATGTGCGCAAGCTGCTGCTGCGGTGCCGGCAGAGCCCAACGCTGCGGTCAATGACAAGCACAACAACAACAACAACGCAGGCACATGACGCAGCTGACGAACCGGCGCTAACCAGTGCACAGCTGGACGAGCTGGAGCAGAATGTGCAAATGCGACAGCACAAGAACAATGTGCCACGCATACGCCAGCTGGTGGAGGCACTGCGGCAGGGCGGGCAGACACAGGATGTGATACGCCAGCAGCTGGCGGCTGAGCTACAGGAGCTGCCGAATTCCACGCATCCGCGTCTGCTTGCCTACGACAATCAGCCGTTGGAGTTGGCCAACTATAAGCATCGTGTGCTGCCGCAACAAGGCGCCAAGGAGTTTTCGGAGCTGGCGCGTGCATTGAGTCTGTATCGCATGGAACACCTGGGCAACTACACGGGACACAAGAGCTACTACTTAACGGGTCAGCTGGCCATGCTGGAGCAGGCCATTATACAGTATGCGCTGCGGTCGCTTACCCGGCATGGCTTTAAGCTAATCTCTGTGCCCGACATACTGCCCAGGGAGATCATCGAGAGCTGCGGCATGCGCACCGAGGGCGAGCGCACACAGGTCTACAAACTGGACACGGGCGAATGCCTTTCGGGCACATCCGAAATGGCGCTCGCCGGCTACTTTGCCAACAGGCAGCTAATGGAATGGGAGCTGCCAGTAAAAGTGGCCGCCGTGAGTCGTTGCTATCGTGCCGAGACGTCGGGTCTGCACGAGGAGAAGGGCATTTATCGGGTGCATCAGTTCACCAAGGTGGAAATGTTTGCCATTGCCACGCCCGAACAGTCTGAGCCAATGCTCGAAGAGTTCAAGAACATTGAAATAGATCTTTTCAAGCAGCTGGGCATCAATTTTCGACTGCTCGATATGCCGCCCTGTGAACTGGGCGCGCCCGCGTATCAGAAATATGACATAGAAGCCTGGCTGCCGGGCCGCCAAATGTGGGGCGAAATTTCCAGCTGCAGCAACTGCACAGATTACCAGGCCAAGCGCCTAAATGTCAAGTACAATCGTGCCCGCGATGCAGCGCTTGTCCATACCCATACCCTCAATGGCACCGCAACGGCCATTCCCCGCCTGCTGATCGCTCTGGTTGAGTCGTATCAGAGCACCGACTCCATACAGATACCCGAGGTGCTGGTGCCCTTTATGAATGGACAGCGCACGATCACGAAGAACAAAAAGATTCCCGAGACAAAGCTGGTCAAATTTATCAGGTCAGCTTAAAGATTTACACCCTTTTTTTTTAACAATTTGATATACGAGATTAATAAAAACAAATATATAAAGATAAATAAGCGATATACTGGAGATAATTGGAGTAATGTCAGATCTGCGTGTGGCTTTCATCTTAATCAAGCGGAGGAACACTTGGTTAGCGGAAAACATTGCCGGATAGGGAATACCTCACCGGAATCGAGCACAAAGAAGATATCTTAAGAACAGACGCAAGCTGGGAAGATGCCGCAGGGATAAATGCAAAGGAGGGAGCATCTTTTTAAGGCAGAAATCTTCGCCATATGCTCATGGTATCAGATCGCATGTTTCTGAATTCCAGCGCTGCCTCTCCCTCCCCCTTACAACCCCCCACCTTGCCTGCCGATCTTTCTGTAATCCCAGCTGACGCTGAAAAGGTTAAGGTCAAGCTAAGTTGATCTATAATTGTATATATAATTTTCCGGCTTGCGTCGGTTTCTGGGCTCTCTATGTATTTGAAAAAGCGTTTATAATTTTGTTGTGTGTTTTTTTTTAACTAATGCCAATCTTTGAGCAGGGCAATAAAATATGCATTGACTATAACAAAATGAAAAAAAAAATCACTATAAAGGAACTTGCTGCAGCTGATCCCAATGATAAAGTAAAAAAAAATAGCAATAATCTAGCTCATTGTTAAACAATTGCGCACTTGTTGGCTTGCTAGGTAGAGTATATTGATGGGAGTTCAGGTTTTAGGAGCAGCTGACGACCTTACTTACCCTTCAATGCCGCCAAAATATCTCATTTTAATTGTTGAACTTTTGCCGCGTGGTGTTTGTATTTGTTGTAGCCTCTTAACGGGGCACTCGATTAAATCCTGCAATTAAATAATAAAATATATGTTAAACGCATTTTGTACTTCCTATCTGGCACACAATCTTATCGAGCAAAAAAAAAACAATTTGCTGCTCTAAGCAAAGAATTTACAAAAAAAAATGAAAAACGAAAGTGTGCTATTTAGTGTATATTGCATGTGCTCGAAGAATGGCCAGCATTTTGGCCAATTCCAAGAGAGTTGGCCACGATTATTGCAACAACAGCACAAAGCAGGTGAACGGGTGAGAGTGAGAGACAATAACAAAAACAAAAACAAAGAAACAAGTTTACAAAACAAATTCCAATCACTTTTCAATTTTTGTTTTTGTTTTTTTCGCTCATAAATTCAAAGCGCGTTAGATTGAATGACAGGTTCACCCTAAAAACCAGCCAAAAATTACTATTTACACACACACACACAAACACACTCGCATGCATTTACTGTACACAAATGCAGTTCGCTACACAGGTACATACAACAGTTCTGGCAGGTAGGTTGCGGAATTTGTCATTTGATTCTTACCCGCTAACTGAGCAACTGTTACGGCTTTCACGTCTAGACGCTTTGATGCCCACACACAAAATATTGTTTTGAGACTGTTGCATTGTTATTTAAAGATTGGCGTCCGCCGCTGTGACCAGATGTTGTAACAGTAACAGTGCTGCAAAACATCAACAGTGCTTCAAGCTGCACATAGCAGTATTAACCCTCTGCATCGCAATGTTGCCGACTGTTAATGTACATTTATAACTATATTGCTTTATTATTATTATTATTGTTTTAGCTTAAGAAGCTAAATTAATTAATTTTATCAATTGCATTTTTATGCATTATCTGGCATTTTAAAAAATAAGTGCTTTACTTTCTGCTTGGATTTTAAATTATCCTAGTTGCAGGCGGGATTAAATGGCTGCCAACAACCAGTGTTGAAAACGGTACAAAACAATTTTGAATTTCGATAAATGTATTTTGTGTGTAAAATGGGACATTATTTAGGACGATCACATTTACTTTTTGCTCTTATCTTTATCCTTATCCTTGATGGTGTATTTGTCGTAGGACTTGGTGGGATCATATGGCTCCCACCGACTGGCTGGGAATATGTGCTTGTTGCGCTCATACCATGAACGCAGCAGCACTTTGCCCGCATGCGATTCTTCCTTCTCGACGGATGCGTCGCTTATCATGCGGACATCGTCATGCACATCGAACTGGAAGAGCGGCCCGGATTTGCCGCGTGCCTTGGTCACAATGAAGTCGTAGAAGGAGTAATGATGCGGCAATATCAAATCCTCCTTGACGTACATCAGTTGATCGGCCATTACGGTTTTCAGCTCGATGAACTCCTTGCGCAGCAGTTCCAGGCATTTCTGCAGGAACTGATAGATTGAGTTGCCCTTTTTCATGAGCACATTCCGCCTGTGGCCGGAACCGTCCCAGTAACTGAATGTGATTGAGATGTCCTCGTCTTTGAGCTCGGCCTGCTGCATAACCCATTCCTGACGCAGTTGTTCGCGCAAGCGATTCTCCTGCTCCTCGCGATCGCGATCTGGCAGAAACGATGTGTCCACATCGGGATTTTTGCATATTTTCTTCTTCTTGACGGGCGCCTCATCTTGCTGTAGCTCGGTCCACTTGGCTGCCTTGGGCTTTACGAACTTGTTTTCCTCCAGCTCATCTTCGTCTTCGCCCTGCTCCTCCTCGTCGTCGTCTAGATTAAAGGATAACGCCTGTATTTGACGTTTCTGTTTGTTTTTTTCCGCTTGTATGGCTTCCAGGGCACGTTGTTTCTCCCGATCCTTTTCATCCTTCTTTTGCGCTAGTTTCTTTTCACGTTCCCGCACGATGTCCTCCTGTTTGGCCTTCATCTCATCCAGCGTGACCAGGCCAATGGTCGACGACTTGAGCTGCTGCTCCACGGCATCGTAGTGTGTCGCAAACTTGTTCTCAATCTTATCCAGCTTCAGCTCCTCTTCAATTTTCTTTTTCCGAAACTCGATCTCCTGCTGTTGGATCTCGCGCTTCTTCATCAGCTGCGCAGCTCGCCCAGCCTCGCTGGCGGCACCTTTGTAGTGAGCCATGGCGTCAGAAAACTTATTCGGTTTATTGTCTGGTTTTACAAAACAGTAAAATTGTATTTATTTTTATTTCTTCTTCAAGCACTAGTGCTGTTCTGCTTCTTCTACCCCAACAGATGTGTTTATTGAACCAGCTGTTATTTTACAGGCCCATAACAGCGTTAACTTAACAGGGGTCACTATGCGTCGATTTTTGGAACTCTGGAACCGAAACTGGAATCATTCACGTTTTTGTTTTTGTTCCAACAAAATGTTTCATATTCACTTTTAAAATAATATTTTAAAATATTAATACTTTTTCTGGTTTATATATATATTTTTTTAATGAAATCAGTATTAATTACAATGTGGCTAATATTAGTCTGCTTAACATAAAAACACCTCTATCTAGGTGTAAAACCTATATAACATTTGTATACCCATATTTACATTGACTGAAATGCACGCTATATTTCATTCCGGTTTCATAGCTAAGTTCCAAAGATCGATGCTTAATAACAGATGCTAACTATACATACATATGTATGTACATTAACTTAAGCAAAAAAAAGTTTCTGACAGAATTGATCAACACTGTTTATAAATAGCTTGAAAAAATTCAACTAAAACTACGAAAGGTGAGCCTAAAATTAATTCTAAAAACAAGCTGTTCGTTGTTTGTGTAAGTTTTTGTGCACAACACGACACGATGAAGCCCACTGTTACTCAAAAGCTTCGTAAGCTTTGCTACTTGCCGGCACAGCCGAACTCTCATTCATTCCACTTGGAATATTCAGTCAGAACGGTTGTGCTTGCTGTTGATATCGCTTCTAAATATTAAAACTCAACAAGTGGCAATTTTTGTTTAATTATTCGAATTAATAATGGCTTGCACTAAGTTCGTGACACTCAACAATGGCGAGAAAATGCCCGTCATTGGCGTTGGCACCTGGCAGGTAATTATTAATCAGCTTTATTTAAAATTATACGTATATATATATATATATATATATATATATACACATATATACATATATACATATATACATATATGCTTATGCAGATATGCTGCGTACAATAATTATAAATACATATACATGTAAGCATATACATAAATATATGTATATGCATGTGTATTGATTATTTAGAGGAGAGTTGAAGGGGGCTTCATCAAATGTTTGCCCAGGGACCGGTTCTGGTTGACTGTAAACAAATCGAACCTTTGTGGGACAAGTACAATGGTTCGACTTTCTCCAGATATAAAAAAGCAGAAGAGACAAGCAACTGTTATTGTTTGTGGGCAATTCAAAGATATATCAAGACTCTAGACACTTGAGATAATAGCAAAGAACGTAGAGTTGTTTGCAGAACGCCGACAACTGAATACCCTTGCACACAGACAAGAGTATCCGGATTTAGTAAGAAGAATATTGAAGCTCTCAATTTCTGAGTTTGGCTAAGAAATCTGTACCAGACTTGATTTTCGAGCAGCAGGAATTCCGGCAACTCTATGATAGTAATCCGACCCGGCCGAGCTGGGCAAAGAGACTTTTCAGTATATATACGTTATTTACATATACTTCATGAAAGACATCATTCTAAATTTATAGCCCCTTCAACTGCACTTAAGAGCTGTTCATATAATAAACCGCAATCTTTAAATCACTCCAATTCCCACACACACACACAGGCACCCGATGACGAAATCGAAACCGCATTAGACGTTGCCTTGGCGGCGGGCTACAGACACATCGACACGGCGCCAGTCTACGGTAATGAGAAGGCAATTGGACGCGTGCTCAAGCGCTGGCTGGATGCGGGCAAGGTGAAGCGGGAGGAGCTGTATATTGTGACCAAACTGCCGCCCATTGGTAAAGCCAGAACACTCTCCATAAAAAAGCACAATCCAATGTTATCCTTTTATTTCCCGCAGCTAATCGGCCGCATGAAGTGGAGCCCACCATTAAGCAGTCACTGGCCGATCTGCAGCTGGATTATGTGGACATGTATCTGGTTCACACACCCTTTACGGTATTCATCAATCCGGATGGCAGCTTTCAGTATGACGATGAGGGTCGCGTTAAGGTGGACAAGTCGACCAATCATGCCGCCGTCTGGGCGGAAATGGAGAAACTGGTCGCAAATGGATTGGCCAAATCGATTGGCGTCTCGAACTTTAGCAAGGAGCAGGTGGCGCGTCTCCTGCAGAACTGCAAAATACGCCCGGCCAACAATCAAATCGAGCATCATGTCTACCTGCAGCAACGTGATCTCGTTGACTTTTGCAAGGCGGAGAACGTGGTCGTTACCGCTTACTCGCCGCTCGGCTCCAAGGGCATTGCCAAGTTCAATACTGCAGCCGGTGTTGTGAGGGATTTGCCGGATCTGATGGACATACCCGAGGTCAAGGAGATTGCCGCCGCGCACAAGAAGACACCCGCCCAGGTGCTGCTGCGCTGGATAATCGACACGGGCGTCGTGGCCATACCGAAGAGCACAAATGAGGCGCGTCTCAAGCAAAACTTGGATGTGTTTGACTTCGAGCTGAGCGCCGAGGAGGTGGCTAGGCTGTCGGCCTTGGACAAGAACATACGCATTTGCGACTTTTCCTTTTTCCGCGGGTAAGCTCGGCAAACATAAACCTTATTAAAAAACAATACTAACCGCCAATTTCTTGCAGTGTGGAGCAGCATCCAGAGTTCACCTTCAAGAACCAATTCACCAATTAAAAAAGGAAAACAATTATATTAAAACATCAAAAGTGCCGTTATTTTTCATACAATAAAAACACAATATTCCAAATATTTAACTACTTTCCAGCGAGTCCAACGGCTGCAACATTCTGGTTATAATTTTCATTACAACAGGTTTTCCCACACGCTTTTCCCTGCAGCTGGGCGTAGCCTTTTCGACTTGTTGCCCATCGAAATTGAATTTCTCGTTGTGTTCGTTTAATGAATCAAGTTTTGGACTAAAAAGAGAATCGGAAAATTAACCGGGCTCCAATACAGCGCTTGCTCGTTAAATAGAATTGTTTAGACATAAGAACTGAAAACGTTTTATCTTAAAAACGTCTCGAATTGAAAATTTGTAATCTCTGCACTTAAAGCTATTATTTGTAACTTTTCAAATTTATGCACTTCAGTTCCAACTAGCGAGCGAGCACTATAATTTTTTGTATTTGTTAGTACGTAATGACATTTATTTGCAATAAAGTTTTTAACATAAGCTTAAACAAATCACATGTGTAGCCAGCACAAAGTTAGGTACGAACTGGCATGAGGAAACCGGTTGACGGTTTTTAGAGTCAGGCTTAAAATATGTGCCTCTTTATACAAAACAAACGAAGTATTAGGTGATATAAAAACTATTACTAGAAAGCTAACATCGGTCACAACGAAGCTTATATACCCTTGGCAAGCGCTAAGAGACAATTATTGTTTAGGCTCCCTTTATATATATATACCATAAAGGGAGCATAAGCAAGAATTTTATAAATACAGTATTTTATTTTTAAGACTAAGTTGTAAGTGAGAGATTATTGGACCTGTTCAGAGAAAACAATACAAACTGTTGTAGAGTATGCACTATTCGCTTATGCCAAAACAAATTTCAGTTATAGTAATGCTTAGCAAGGGTATATAAACTTAGTTAAATACATTAGTTTTAATACACAGCTTTTAGTGACGGAATCAATTGTTTGCATACTTAAAAATTTAGTACAAAAATATAAACAAAAGCGACTCGAATCAAATACTAAAAAAAAAAGTATGAAATAACGTGTAAACTGAAAAATTTGCTTAGCTTGGCTAAATGCTTGACATTCATTAGTTAGTTAGTTGGCCCAGACAAGCTCGGAAACTTGTTAGATTTGCATTTCGAGTATTGAAAGAAATTCGCAGTTGTTGGAGCTAGATCCTTTGAAGTCATGCGGACGACTCACGTGGTGCGCGTCTCCTCATCCGAGCTGCGTCTGCAAAGAACAAAGTTTGTTATTATTAATTGTTGTTATTAATGTATAGACAATTAGGTGTGCTCTAGTCAAGATTGCCCGACTCTGAGATCAAGGGGTGCAGGTTACAATTATAATAAACTAAGACAATGACTTACTCATATGCTTCCGGCCGCAGAGTTGTCGATATAAATAAAATTCTTAACTTGCATGCCAAAAGCTAGCGCCAAACATACCTGGGCTCCTGATTCGTGCGCATGGCCAGAGTGGCCACTTCGAAGAGGCCAATGAAGAAGCAGAGCATCAGGGGGCCAAAGATGGCGCCCTGCCAGCCAATCCAGTACATGCCGCCCGCTATGGCCAGGCCATTGAGGTAGGGATGACCCCCGCTGCAAGAATTGGGCTTAGCTGTGTGCGTTTCTCCATGACATGACACACTTACCCCTTAATGTCCGCATAGATGGCGGTCTCGAAGGACGAGGGCACAAAGAATTGTAAGAGGAACAGTATTAGTCCCGCATAGAAGCGATCCTGTGCCAGCCAGAGCTCCAGAAAGGCAGGCACCGCACACCAGTAGCTGCCCAAAAACGGAGCAGCCGCCAGCAGAGCAGCCAAAGCGGAAGGCAGGAAGACAATCCGAGCGCCAAACACCGTATGTACCAGCCAGGTGAAGAGACCCGTAAACGTGGAGCACTTGAACATGGAGACGAGCACAACCGTAATTGAGTTCTCCAAGGCATCAGCGACTTTAATGCCCGAGGCAGAGTAACCCATGTATTTGGTGATCTGCATGGGCGCATACTTCTCCTGACTGCTGGACAGTAGATAGAACAAGGCAGTGAAGAACACAATCTAAGGATGAAGGGGAATTTATTCTGTAATCGGATTTGGTGTGATCCTTCAATTCTTACCATGTCCAATATGAACTCAATGCACGCCTGTCCGCCGGATAGCAGCAGCGAGAGTATCTCACCCGTAACGCCCATTATCATCGAGAGATTCGTGCGTATAATGTGCCACAGAGATTCGGCAACCTCAAGTATGGTCTGCGTATTGCTCTGCGCCCAGCCGATGATGCCCTGTTTTGCCACTAAAACTAGCTCTTTAAAATGTCCTTGGTTAAAATGAAACCATGGGTTAGCAAAGGCAACATGTAATGAGTTATTTGTTCTGACGCATACGATAAATCATACGGGATGGGTGTGTTAAGGCCAAACTGAGCTGTGTTAGGAGCTCTACAATAAATATATAACTCAAAAACTCAAAACATACAGAAACGTTGGACAAATGAAATCAGAAAACCAAAAACCGCGTCGCGCACTTACCTGGATTATCGACAATCTCACCGAAGGTGCTTTTCAGCGCATCCGTGGGCACGCGCGGCCCGTACGAGGTGCCCGCCTTGTTGAAGTCAATCCAATACTGTATGAGCCTGTCCCAGACATCGAGAATTTGCTCCTTCAATTTGGTGGCATGCACCTTGTCGGCATCGGCGAGCCAATCATCTATATAGGTCTCAATCTTACGGCGACCATAATGATGCGCATTGTCGAGCGCATCATCAATGGACGCCTGCATATTGGCGGGCAATATATCAATTAGCTCAGGACGATCTGTGATTGTCTTGTTAATTAGATCTTTGCCCAGATACGCGACCTCAATCGTCTCTGAATAGATGTTAACGCAAAAGAAAACACTCAGAAAGATGATGATGAGCAGCATGAGTATGATCATTAGAATGGATGTGACAGACTCCACAGATGACTTCAGCGAATCCCGCACAATGCAGTTGATCTTGTAGTTGAGCTCCAGAACGCCCGGCAGGCACAGCGGCAGCACAGCCGAATGATGCTCCAAGGCCCAAGACTGCGGAAGAGTACATAGTAGAGTATAGATATACAGAGTTAACCAATTCCAAGGCTTTTACCCGCACGCCCCGATAGGCATCGTCGAGCTTGCCGCAGACAAACTGGGTTAGGCCCGTATAGCTGCCCGCGGTGTACAATAAATGCAGAAACACCGGCACCGCAGCCAGTATAAACATCCAAATATTGCGATACAAAAAGGTGCCCAGGCAGGCATAAAATAACAGCTTAAAGTAGGTATCGCTTTGGTGTACCTCTGGCTCCTCCGCCAGCTTGGCATCGAATGTGTCCTCGGAATCTATAGTGTCACTCAACGAAATGTCCTCTACATCGGATTGCAATGTCGGCTCGCCAGCAGCTCGGCGACATATGCTGAGATTGCTCAAAGATTTCTCGAAATCATTTTTATTGAACAGCTTCTGCAGGCGCTCCAAATAGGAGCTGGCGTCATGATCATCACTCGTCTGCAGATGATACGCCGTGGAGACAAGCACGTAGCCCATGACCAGCAGGAAAACAGGCACCTGAAACGCGCCCAGAAAGCTGCACAAATAGCCGGCAATGGCTATCCACATGGACTGGCCGGCAACAACGAAACGTGCGCTATTCTCTGGTTTCCAGAAAAAGTGCACCGAGGACAAGTAGATGGCAATCAAAACGATGAGCTGCAAGTGAGGACAAGTGTGGGCTAAGATGCACCTGCGACGAGTATGTCAAAGCACTTACCACATACACATTGAGAAAGCCAATGATGCGCACGAACAGGCCGTGCGAAAAGGTCAGCCAGTTCCAGAGCAACAACAGGCAGCCTTTGGGCGCATACAAAACAAGAAGCTTGACGCAGACGGCGACGCCGCAGCCGGCTATGAGAAGCTGCCAGTGCTGGCACAGCCAGTCGATGAGCAAGCGACCGCAATGCTCGGTAGCCTCCAGTGGAGCCAGGCAAATGGAGACGATCACATTCGAGTCGCGCTCCTCCAGGCGCTGGAACCAATTGTTCAGCAGTTCGGCCAGCTTGCGCTTGAATGGGAACAGCACGGCGCCCATGAGGAAGGCCCACAGCAGCGGACGCACAAAGGGGCCCAGGATGAAGCAGACGGCCACAAAAGCGGCCACGCCCGCTGCAATTAGAAAATTGTACATGGCAGCCCGAAAGCTCTCATGATTCTGTGACCGCATCCTAAGCAAGCGATTGAGAACGCTGTCAAAGGAGCGATCACGCCGTATGGGTATAGAATCCGAGCGGTTCATGTTGAGAAAAGAAGGTTACACGCAACGAGGGACTGAAAACAGGTTGATGCGAAAAAATTAGGCAAATGCTTTGACAATGCTGCGGCAGCTGACACGCCCGTATATGTGCGTATTTTTAGACAAATGAGTCGACTTACAATTATTATTGTTTAAATCTGAAATAGGGTTGATGAATGCAGCTCCTTTGCATTTTCGGTAGATATTTGTGGGGGCTGGGGTTGTGCCGGCTTTACAATTTGTATATAATCATTCACACAATGTTTTTATTTCAATTTTGGCACATAAACAAAAAGCAATATTGTTTATTTTTAATGGGCAAATGACGTCAGCTGACGATGCAGTGTTGTTAGCTGACTGAAAACAGAATCGTTTTACAGCACTAACGCGCATTCGAAAAAAAACGGGACGCCAACAAAAATAGACGCAATGCAAAGTGAGTAAAACGAAATAAACATCAAACAATTAATTAAAAACTATTTGGTTCAGAATTAACATTACAGCAAGTACATGCCTTGCGCAAGGCACAGGAAGATTTAAATTTTAGCAAAGCCATCTACCTGGAATTCTACCCAAAAATGGCCAAACATGCCTACACAACGGAGCTCAATAATTTGGTAGTAAAATTTGCTATATACTAATAATTAAAATTTAAGTTATAGGCCTGTTATATTCGCAGATACGCGGTGATTTCAGCCGTGTTGAAGTGGAGCTAAACATACCCAAATTACCGCCACAGCACAAAGAGCAGGAAGAATACACACCCATGCTACAGGTAAGCCGTACATATGTACATATATTAAATCTTTGGTTGGAATTGATTATGATTAATATAAACTGTCTTAACTATAGCTGGACAAATTAATGGAATATTACGATGCAACCGTTGATGGCATATCCCTATTGCAAGCGTGATCCGATCTACCCCGACTATTATTCAGCCAGTAGCCATGTAAAATGCGTTGAATATGCTGCAGGCACTCGAAAGGAGGTGACAGGTTCTGTAAAAAATCAAACTTTATTAAGTTATCCGTATTGGAAACAAGCCTCGCCAGACTCACATTGAATAGCGGTATAATGGGCCGCTCTTTAAACATGCTGCCCTTTGTGCGCAGTATTAGCATGTATTTAATATCTAGCTGTAAGTAAATTGAAACCTTTTAATAAATCTAAGGAAAATAATGTAGCGCAAGCCAATCTCACATTCTCTATGACCTCGTTGAGCACCATGTCATGGAGATGACCGCGTTGTACGCAGAGCACCGATTGGCGTCCAAAAGTGCGCACCGTTTCCGTCTGCAGAGCCATGTCCCAGCTGTAGAAGAGTTTCTCGGAGTGAACTAGTTGGAGCGTGGTACGGAATATCGAAGCAGACAGAGCAAAACATAGCAGGCCCGGATATAATATATGAGCTTGACCCATCCTGGTCGGGCCTTCGCTTAGGGCCAGAGCAAAACCAAAATAAACAGTCGCCAAACCCAATAGCCAAAAGAAACGTTTCAGTTGCGCTCTACATTGTTCGCCATGCAGACGGTTTAATAACTGTATGCGAACAACGTCTTCGCCGTATTTCTGAACGGTCAGCTCTAAGTCCTCCACCACGCTGCCTTTATATATGGCTGTCTTGCTAAAGTATCTGTGCCGACTCGGTTCCATTATGGATTTGCTCAAACAAAAAATAAATAAAATCGGCAAACGGCAGCCTACAACACTAACGGCAATTATTATGCAGCACTGTTTAACACTTTGGTCATACTTTTGTTTACATTTGTGCATCGATAGAAAGATGTATATCGATTGTTGTATCGATGTGTACAAAAAACAATATGGCGTCTGCACAGCACAAAATCGTCTTCGTCTCGGTTGGAACAGCGTCCGTTCCGCGAAAAATTTTAAAATAATAATTGAACCGTAAATATATGGTAAATAAGGTGTTGGAAACAGTAAATATGCGCAAACGCAAATTGTATATACTTTGAAAAATTCTGAAAAGGCGCTGCCAACAGCATTAACAAGGAATTGCAACGTGAGTGCATACATTTTTTGGTCAAGATTCAATATTACCCCTCGCGCTTTCGCTTACACCGCTGATGCCCTCTTGCGGCTTCTGTGTCTGAGCTTGTGTGTGTGTGTGTGTGTATGTGCGTTTAGGTGTGCATGTGTATTTTTCGTGTGTAACTATACTTGATTCTGATGTACTTCTAAATACGAGTATTTAACGCGTTCGTAAAATAATAAACTACCTATAAACTTTGGCTAGGTCCTGCGACTGCGTGAACATTGCACATTTGGAGGTGAAAATGTTTTTATTTATGGACTCGAACTCGTACTTTATGCAACAAAACGGCGTGTTGAGTTTTTGGTTCTTCTATTTTGTAGTGTGTTGAATTTGAGGATTGCCGCTGTTACTTGTGGTGGATTTTGCGCTCGCCGTACTTTACTTCTCTGTTTCATTGTGAGCCGTCACCTCTGTGTGGTTTGCGTGGTGTGTACCCGTTGTTTTTATAAATCTTGTGTGCGTTTAATTAATTCGTAAACGTATACAGCTAATGTAAAATGTAACAAATGAATTCGGATAATCGCAAAATCAAAACAAAATCATTGCAAATAATGAATGCGTCATTCACATTTGTCGAGACGATGTGTGTTTCCGTGAGTGTTTGTCTGTGTGCATGAAAAAGTGCGAGAGTAGACGGCATTTTTCTTTAGGCATGCTCTTTGCCAGATATACGCTGCAATTTTTTTGCAATTCTGTTTTGTGCTTGTCATTCGCAATAATTTAGTGAATGAAAGCAAAAGAAACGGGCCGAAAAACGATGTACTCACCAGACGGTTGTTGTGTGTGTGTGTGTATTTCGAACACTTGCGTTTCAGAAAATTGAATGTCAAAAGCAAATTTTTTTTTCGCAACTGCTTGTTTTTTCGAATTACTGAACTCAGGACATACAACACACACACACGCATACACATGTACAAACATAAAAATACATGCATGCACATTCATGCTCATATTCAGAGTCTTTTGCCCACCCCAAAATGTGCATGCAAAACACACAGCACACATACATATGCGCGCGTATTCTGCATACATCGCAGCAGATACAACGCGTTCGTTTTCTTACAGCTTGTGCTGGCCATTGTGTGAGATCCATCGCGCGCACACACACACACACATACACATTGGTGCGTCCCCAGCGTATTCATGGCGTATTGTCATTGTCCTGTATGCTTTGGCTTTCCTGTTGGCTTATATATTATTTTTCCTGTTTCGTTTGCGCGTACGCATCACAAATACACACACCTCCACAGCTTGCGCCTCCTGCCTCGCCCCTTTTTTTGTGCCACTTGCAGGCAGCGTCAATATTTTTCATTTGGTTTTATTGCCATTGTGCGCTTGCCTTTTTTTGACAGCGACATCAGCGCCCGCTCTCCTGCTCCCATTTCAATAAGCGCTGCGCTCTCAGCGGCTGGGCCTTACTTTAACTTGAACTCTGTTGCTGGGCGACAAATGTGTACTTTTTTTTTTCTTCTTTTCGTATCTCTGCGGCGAAGCATGTGGCAATTATCGCCTTTGACCAATTTCTTTTCTTTTTCGATGTTTATCAATGATCATCCTAGACGAGTTGGCTGCCCACGCAGTTTTGCCAGACATTGAACCTAGCTGCATATATACATATGTATGAACACACAAATGCACGCATATATACATGCATGTGTGTCGTTGTGAGTATTTATTTTTAACTCTTTTTTTATTGAGTGTAAAAACAGCGTTGGTTGCGTAAATGGCCGCAATGTGTATTAGCATTTGTTTTTAATTGCTGCTTTTGTTTTGATACACATTCGTGAGAGGCGAAATATGTATACACGTAGATTAGAGTGCGCTTATCAGCGAGGCCGGTGAGGGGTGCCGCATTGCAATTGTTGAAATGTTCTCATTGTTTTACATAATATATACAAAAAAAATACCTATGTTATTAATTTTATTAAAACATATTATAAATAATCATGAATGCTTATTTTCGCCCACACGGAGGAGCCTATCTGTGTGTGGTAAAAAAACTTAACACGCATTTTAAGCGCAGCCTTGGCGCCGTTGCAAATTGTACTGAAACGTTATTGAGTACTGGCCAAAGGTGGATTTCCTCAGTTTCCTCTATCGATGACGTAGACCTTGTTTCTATGCTATTACTATGAGCTAAATATCTGTTCTGTGTACACACTTTATTTTACACTTGCTCATTGATTTTTGTTGCCTTGTGCGTACGGCGTACGTTGTAGCAACAGTTCTTACGCGTGTGTGTGTGTGTGTGTGTTTGATAATCTAATCTAGTCGCCGCAAATTGCCCCCGCTAGCCGGCCGTCACCCACTGGCTGCATACATATACAATGTATATGTACTGGCTGACTTTTGTGCGCTCAGTTTGCTCTCTTTCTCCGGGTCTGACCACTCATTTTGTTTGTTTTTGTCGCGCGCGTGTTTGCACTCGTCGCCGTTGTGGGTCGCTTTGGCGAAAGCGCGATAATAGTTTGCAATGGTGTAGACTTCAGAAATCACTCACACACAAATGCATGGTGCGTTGTGGAGAGATTTGAACGTTTTTGTGTTTCCACTTAAAATGTGCTAAATTCAAGTTCAATAAGCTTATGTTACAGACAGAAGGATCATGCCCGTCGAGTTATTAAAGTTTAGAGAACTGCTCTCCCAATACTGATCTTTGCCACTTACGCTCTTAAAATGGATGTATTTTAGTTCTTTCTCATTTACCCATTTACTCGCTCTTTCGTGGTACACGGTATTTTCTATTCGAACACTCTCGGCTAGAGAATACATGTTTTTTTTTGCTGTTTGTAAACAGACTGGGGCAAGAATAGTTTTTGGCATTTCGCTTTGCCGAATAGTTTGTATTGCTGTGCACACACACATGCAGACAGACTCACGTACACACACACAGTCGGATACATGCATAAATGCAGCAACATCAAACGTAGCTTTCACAATTTCATTCATGGTGTACGCTTTTTGCAGCTTCTGTTTTGATACGCATTTATTGTTATCGTGCCTGTGTATGTATGTGTGTATGAGTATAACAAATATACATACATGTATGTATGGAATTACTCATTATGCTTTTTGCACAGTGCTGTAAAACAACAAAAATTACCTACTCAAATCGCTTGATTGCGTTATGAGTGGAAATGTGTATCATTGTTAGAAATATCGATACTTTTCGTTAAATGACTCAACATTCAAACCGATGAGCTACGAATAAAACATATTAATGCTAACAATTCTAATTAGTGCACGGATCAATAAAATGTTTCTTGTTTTTTTTTATTTTCATATTGTTTTGCAGTTTTGTTGTGCGCAGACCACAGATAACAGCACATAAACACATAACATGGATATGCAAGTCAAGTGTAGAGATTAGTTGAATGCTTTGAATTTCAAATTCAATATACTAAATTAACTGTAATTAGTCTAGTTGACTAGCCCCAAGCGCGGCTACAAGCCAGCCACAATAAATAGCAGGCACAACCCAAGAGAAGTTTTTAAACGTGAACTTTTTGTGCAACCACAAAACAACAACAACAACAACCACCAACAACCAACAACAAAAAGAGAGAGAGAGAGAGAGGGAGGAAAGGACACACATTACACCTAAGGCCAAACCATGACGACTGACACCCGCCGACGTGTTAAGCTTTATGCGCTGAATGCAGAGCGCCAATGGGATGATCGTGGCACTGGCCATGTCTCTTCCACGTATGTGGAGCGTCTCAAGGGCACTTCGCTGCTGGTTCGTGCCGAATCAGATGGTTCCTTATTGCTGGAGAGTAAGATTCAGCCAGATACCGCCTATCAGAAGCAACAGGATACGCTGATTGTCTGGTCGGAGGGCGATAATTTTGATCTGGCGCTGAGTTTTCAGGAGAAAGCCGGTTGTGATGAGATATGGGAGAAGATATGTCAGGTATTTATTATTATTTGCTTAATAACGAATTTCGCTTAGATGATCAACATTCGATATCGGATTGCTGTGTACAGGTGCAGGGCAAGGATCCCTCCGTGGAGATTACGCAAGACATTGTCGAGGAGTCGGAGGATGAACGTTTTGAGGATATGTCGGATACAGCACCGCCAATTGAGTTGCCGCCATGCGAGCTGTCACGGCTCGAGGACATATCTGAGACAATACAAAGTTGCCTTTCGACACCGCTGCGCAAGGAGAAGCTCTCCATGGCCCTGGAATCGGAGAACTACATTAAAAAGCTATTGAATCTGTTTCATGTTTGCGAGGATCTCGATAATACGGAAGGGTTGCATCATCTCTTCGAGATATTTAAGAACATTTTCTTGCTAAACAAGAACGCGCTCTTTGAGATTATGTTTGCGGACGATACCATCTTCGATGTTGTCGGCTGCCTGGAGTATGATCCTAGTGTGGCACAGCCCAAAAAGCATCGGCAATATCTCAAACAATGGGCCAAGTTTCGGGAAGCTGTACCCATCAAGAACATGGATCTTTTGGCCAAAATTCATCAAACGTTTCGTGTACAGTACATTCAGGACATTATATTGCCGACGCCGTCTGTCTTTGTCGAGGATAATATGTTGAACACGTTATCAAGTTTTATATTCTTCAACAAAGTTGAGATTGTTACGCTCATCCAGGAGGATGAACGTTTTCTGCTTGACCTATTCACCCTGCTCACGGATCCGGCAACTGGCGAT